TGGTTCCTTATGATAACACCACTCTGCATCATTGACTTGAAGAGGGCCAAAAGCAGAATTAATGGTTATTTAAAGGGTATAGGACTTCATACATTTATAACCCACCATACCACATTCATAAGCAGTACATGAGCGTTTCATAACAACCACAAGACAACGAAAATGTTCACTTACTTATACAGTGCCTTCGGAAAGTATCCATACCCCTTGACTTATTCCACATTTTGTTGTGTTACAGCCTGAATTCAAAATGGATTAAATAGATTTTTTTCTACACACAATACCCCATAATGACAAAGTGAAAACATGTTTTTAGAATCTTTAGCAAATTTATTGAAAATGAAATACAGAAATATCTCATTTCCATAAGTATTCACAGCCCTTAGTCAGGGCGGCAGGCAGACTCAGACTGTATTGATTGTGCAGGGTAGCTGAAAGAGAAGGATATTCCCTTATTGCTCTAAGGAGAAGGAGGGTGTAAGGACCAATAGTTGAGATTCTCAACCAACACTTACATCAGATGAGAACACACTACTTGTCACTGTGCTTCTATGGCTATATGCACCATGCCACTGCCTACTTAATTTGTTCATTTAGCAAACAAGACAGCTCATAATCCAGTGCCTTTATCACAGTCATACTGGCTGTTGCTAGGAATCATCACATCTATTTCCAGGTTGTTCTTGTTTCATCACGAGCTTCACACTTACATGGCATGGCGACCTCACACATAGTCTGCTCTTGGAACTGATTTTTAATTAAACCATTGGCTAATAAATACGTTCCCTCCTCCTCTTTTTACTACATCACTTGTGACAACAATGACACTGATGACACTGTGTGAAAGTTATATTGATTGACCTTTGACATGTAAGCTGCAAAGCACTAAGAGAGAGAACGAGAGAGAGAAAAGAGAGAGAGAGAGAGAGAGAGAGAGAGAGAGAGAGAGAGAGAGAGAGAGAGAGAGAGAGAGAGAGAGAGAGAGAGAGAGAGAGAGAGAGAAGCAGTGAGCCTTTTGGCTCTGAGTGTGTTAAGTTTGTAACTAAGGCTCTGATTCCAATGCCTTGTTCCTGTTCATATTGACAGATGGCAAAGTGCCAACCCAGAACACTGGGATCCTGTGTGAAACAACTCCCACTTTCTCTCCACCATTCAGCATTGGTTGGGAGAGAATGCCCACTCTTACTAGAATATCTACACTCTGTTTCAGTGTGCAATCATCACAACAACGGTGCATAGAACTATTAAAAACACAATTGTAGTTTGAAGGATAACATGAAAATATGAACACTAAAGCGACATAAACAATTGGACAAAGCTCCCTCAGCCTTCCTGCTGGTCCCTGGTGTTTTGTGTCGCAACAATTGCAGAGGAACAGCTGAGCCTGAGCCCAAAACAGACCCAGACAATGGAATTTAGACTCTCAGCTTCACTGTTAAAGGCTATTGCATTATGATGACTGACAATAAAACAACACAGCGATGGCTGGATTTCCAATTCAATGTAGAAAAGGCTTGTATAAAAGGGTTGATAACTTTGTGTCTGTCAGTTGTGAGGGACACACGTTCTTTGATACAATGATCAGTCTACTCATAAATGTACTTCCTATCACATTTTTGCATAAGATGCTTGATGCAGATATTTTACATGTACATTACAACATGTAAGTTGACCATCATCATGTACCATGACTGCTTATGCATAGTTTATCTACTAGGGCTCCGTCAATCCTCCTGGATAGAACCAAATCAGGTTGAAATGAATTCTACCTCCTGGATAGAACCAAATCAGGTTGAAATGAATTCTACCTCCTGGATAGAACCAAATCAGGTTGAAATGAATTCTACAATGAATTTCCACTTCAATGACAAATGAATCATCAACAGAAGACGTGTATAGAACAGTGTAAAAAATGTATAGTAATGTAGGCTATTATTGAGTGAGAGACAAGCTGTGGTGGATTCCCCCTCCCCTCCAAGTCAAGATAAAAGCAAGAGCTTAACAAATAAGGTTTTGCAAATCTGCTTAAAATCCACTAGCGGAGCATTGAAAGTAAAGGATTTAGGGTAAGCAGCATATTGCATAGTATTAAAAACCTGCCATTGCATTGCTCCAGATAGCTGTACACTATCCTTGAAAAAAAAAAAAACTAGCTTTGTCTGTAATATAAAACCCTCATGGAATATTATTGTAATTCACATGAATGTTATTGAAATTCTTCAGATTGCCTCTTTCAGATGTGCATATCCCTGTAAAGATCTTGTTATAACCATGTAATACCTTGGTTTGGCTCCACACTACAACATAACCACAAAGATGTGTCAGTAGCCTACTGTATTTGCAGAATCAGATTGGTTCAAGCTGATGCACTATTGAACAATGTAGGTTATTACATTCTCTATGTAGATGTTTATTCTGGTTGACAATGTGCCATCTCCTGGACATGATCCCTAGTCACTGGTCTCTAATCACTATCACAAAAATAAGCACACCAAATATTCAGGCATTAGCTAATACTATTTCAGACATATTAATTCACACAATTACATAGCAACCATGCACGAGCGTCGCGCCCCTGCTTTGAGCCCTAATGGAAAAGTTACTGGAGAGAGAGTGAGTGAGAGCAGGATGGATCAGTCGCCATTACTGACTGGGATGAGAGAGAGAGGGGGAGCAGGTCTCGGATTACACGCATTCCACCAATTAAACAAAATATATGAAAACAATCAAATGTGGAATAGAAAGAGGATACACGGAACGTTCCCCGTGAATTGAAGGGCACGAGCCGTTGAAAAATCGAATTTGCTGGAGTAAAATAATACACTTGGAATGCTACCTTTTTTCGTGGTCTCGGCGCTGGGAGCGACCATGTTAGGTAGGGGAATGTATTTGGAATGGACTGCATCTAATTTTTCATTAGCTACACTCTGGATAAAATTGTCTGTGTCAAATAAATTCAAATTATTTCAATTCAGGATCAAGGGAAGTAACGAAATATTCCGGCAAGGTCATTCGTTTGTATTTTGCGCTGAGTGAAATGTATTATTGTTCGACTCGCTACCACTATTTTGCTATATAACTAGGCAGCGTTAGCTACAGCTAGCTAGCAGGCTAAGCTCAGCCAGAGATGACTCTGGAAGCAAGCGATTTTAGCTTAGTGTCGGGGCAAGGCCCCTGAGCTGGCTGTACAAGTCATTCTTCCAACCAAATGCCATTGATGATTGTCAAGTTTCTGATTACAATTGCATAGCCAGACGTAACCTTTTATTGCATGGGTTATTATAATTGTAACCATATGCAGATAAAGCAAACCACGTTTGCTAGCAACCTAATTGGAAGTGTGACAGTTTAACTTGCTGGACGTTTCTTGGTTGTTAGTTCGCTAGCAGCTAATGTTAGCTAGCTAGGACAGGTCAATTAGCTAGTTAACTAATGAACCTCGGATTGTTGCAAAATGACAATTGTTACTGACAAGTTGTCCAGAACACCGTCCTGCTTTTCAATAACCTCTACATCTCCTGGTAGAGGATTGCTTTTTAGTTTTCATTGGTGTGCCTCCCTGGCTATGACATTCTTGGTTGCATGCCATTATCATTAATCAATGACTGGGGTTTAGAATGGCGCACCGTTCAGAACGTAGCACACCGGAAAGAAATGTAGCCACTGCCAGGTACTACAATGGTTTGCTAGTGATAGGCTACCTTCTCACATGGGCACTACTAGTTACACATCTCGATAATATCAAAAAATTGCAGTAGATAAGCAATAGCTAAATTCCTGTTTAATACTAGAAGCGTGGGACCGGTGTAATTACAGTATTATAAGTCAGACGTCAAAACCTGACTGAATTGCTAGTCTGTTTGCTTTGTAACATGTCATGATGGGGTGTGTTGCATGATTCTTAGGTGACGAACATGCAAAGCGCAACAAATATTAGCCAGTATTGTTGTCAAAGGGTTCAATAGATGGCAGGTGCAATAGTTCTCTAGTAACTTCTGCAACAATAGTGTTATTGGAGTAAACTGAAATGTAATCCATATTGAATGATGATGAATAGCAGGTTACTGGGATTTGATAAATAACTAAATGATGGTCTTGTGTCATTACTCTTTTTCATTATTTCTAGATCACTGCCTCCAAGTCTGAAGTTGCATAACATTTTTTATCTTCTGCACAAATTGGATGAAAGGAGTAAAAAAAAAAATTGAATGGCAAATGAAAAGAGTCACTGACACTGAAGGAGGAATTTAGTTGTTACACTCCTACAGACAGTACAGGGTTTTATCAACATTTACATTTCTACTGTAGCTGTTCATATTTTATCATTAGTCATGTGGACCTTGACAATGACTCACTGCAATTTTATTTTATTTTTATTTATTTTATTTCACCTTTATTTAACCAGGTAAGCCAGTTGAGAACAAGTTCTCATTTACAACTGCGACCTGGCCAAGATAAAGCAAAGCAGTGCGATAAAAACAACAACAACACAGAGTTACATATGGAATAAACAAAAACGTACAGTCAATAACACAATAGAAAATAGAAAATCTATATACAGTGTGTGCAAATGTAGTAAGTTATGGAGGTAAGGCAATAAATAGGCCATAGTGCAAGATAATTACAATGTAGTATTAATAACAACATCATGGCATCCCAAATGTCACCCTTTTCCCTTTATAGTGCAAAAGTTGTTCACTATATAGGGAATAGGGTGCCATTTGGTACGGAGACCATATTAGGCCTATACGATCTGTTGTTTGTGTTCCTATGTGTGTGTAGTTCAATTATACACTCTTTCTTTTTCAGGGAGGTCATAATAATGGAGAACCAGCTGCCCTATCCCAGCTCGAGGATCTAGGAGGATAGAGGGATTCACCACTAAAGGGAGAAATCCAGGCACGTGCACCACCACCCTATCTAACCAATTGGAGTGGAATGATAGCTGTGCTGGTGGAAACCTTTCCTGAAAGTGACAAAGCAATGAAAGGGGGAATATAATGGCCAAGAACAAGGAGGCACGCCCCCCAACATATGCTGTCAGTGTTGTCGGCCTCTCAGGGACAGAGAAGGAGAAGGGCAACTGTGGCGTGGGCAAGTCCTGCCTATGCAACAGATATGTGCGTTCCAACGCTGACGGCTACTACACTGAGCACACTTCTGTGTTGAGCACAATTGACTTTGGAGGTCGCGTGGTGAACAATGATCACTTCCTCTACTGGGGTGAAGTGCCACACCGAAGTGATGACGGGCTCGAGTGTAAAATTCAAATCATTGAACAAACAGAGTTCATTGATGATCAGACTTTCTTGCCCCATCGCAGCACAAACCTGCAGCCCTATAGTAAAAGGGCTGCATCCTCCAAGCTACAGTCTGCTGAGAAGCTGATGTACATTTGCACCGACCAGCTTGGGCTGGAACAGGATTTTGATCAGAAGCAGATGGCCGATGGGAAACTGAACATTGACGGTTTTTTATTGTGCATAGATGTGAGCAAAGGCTGTAATAGGAAATTTGAGGATCAGATGAAATTTGTCAACAGTCTCTATTCTCAAATGGTCAAATCGAAAAAGCCCATCGTCATTGCTGCAACTAAATGTGACGAGTGCATGGAGCAGTATCTAAGGGACCTTCAGGTGTTCGCTGCAAGCAAAAAGAACCTCCTGGTGGTAGAAACATCAGCTCGATCTAACGTAAATGTAGACCTCTGTTTTAACGCGTTGACCCAGCAGATGGACAAAACACGAGGCAAACCCAAAATCATTCCTTATTTGGAGGCCTACAAAGTTCAGAGACAGTTAGTAGCCACAGTGTCTGACAAGTTTGAAAAGAGGATTGTACAAACTGTCAGAGATTATCACACGAGTTGGAAAACAGTGAGTAACATGTTGAAAAACCACCCAGACTATGAGGAATACATAAACTTGGAAGGCACCCGAAAAGCTAGAAACACCCTCAACAAGCACATCGAACAGCTGAAGCAGGAACATATCAGGAAAAGGAGGGAAGAATACTTCTCGAGCCTGCCAAAAATTCTCAATAGCTTGCTCAACAACTTGGAAGAACTCGAGAACCTGAGCTGGTCAGAGGCTCAAAGTATCTTGAAGAGCAGGGCTGAGTTTCATTTCTGGTTTGTGGTGCTGGAGCACACCCCGTGGGATGAGACGGACCAAATTGACAAAGTCAACGACAGAAGAGTGCCCTTTGATCTCCTCAAAACGTCGGAAGGGGAAAATATTTTTCAGAACCATGTCCAGCATCTGTTCTCAGAGAAAATGCGGTTAGAAATGAAGGATAAATTCAAGAAGACGTTGGATCGAGTCCATTTCATCAGCCCTGGACAATCCTGGGAAGAGGTCATGTGTTTTGTCATGGAGGACGAGGCCTACAAGTATATCAGTGAATCTGATCACAGGGATGTTTATAGCCAACATCAGCAGGAAATAGTTGAAAGGGCCAAAGAGGAATTTCAGGAAATGCTTTTTGAACATGCAGAGCTGTTTTATGACCTTGATTTAAACGCCACCCCAAGCTGTGACAAAATGAGCGAGATCCACACTGTGCTCAACGAGGAGCCCAGATACAGAGCCCTGCAGAAACTGGCCCCGGACAGGGAGTCACTTCTTCTCAAGCACATCGGGTTCGTCTACCACCCCACGAAGGAGACGTGTCTGAGCGGACAGAGCTGCGTTGATATGAATGTCGAGCAAGTACTGGCTAACAGACTAGTTCAGCTGGACCATGGTCGCTCTAATCTGTACTATAACAGTGCCAACATTGATAAAGTCAATTTGTGTCTCTTGGGAAGGGAGGGTCTCGCACAAGAACTTGCAAATGAAATCCGAGCCCAGTCCACAGATGACGAGTACACCCTTGACGGGAAAATCTATGAACTGGAGCTTCTGCCTGTTGATGTCAACTCAACGTTGCTCTTCAGCCATACGTGGGCGTCGACCTTCAAACCTCACGGAATCTTCTGTGTTTTCAGCTCCATAGAGTCGCTAAATTGTGTTGGCGACTGCGTAGGGCGAATCAGGGCAGAGATTGCACAGAACAGGAGGGAGAGATACGCTCCGCCATTGCCATTCATTCTAATTCTAGCAAACCAGAGAGACATCGTTTGCAAAAATATGCCTATCTTGAGGCATCAAGGCCAACAGCTTGCAAATAAGCTACAGTGCACCTTTGTAGATATACCTTCTGCTACCTTTCCACGGAAGTTTAACGAGTTCCAAATTAAACAGGCACTCAGAGGAGTATTAGAAGGACTAAAGCACAACTTTGATGTGATGAGCCCTCTGCCGTCAATCAAAGACATGTCAGAGACCGACTTGAGGATCGTTATGTGTGCCATGTGTGGGGATCCATTTAGCGTGGACCTCATCCTCTCACCTTTCCTGGATTCACATTCCTGCAGCGCTGGGCAACCTGGCCAAAGTAACACTCTGATCCTCAACAAAATCATTGGCGACAGTCGCAGAAGAATACAGGTCACTGTCCTTTCCTACCACTCCTCCATTGGAATCAGGAAGGACGAGCTCGTCCATGGATACATCCTGGTCTACTCAGCAAAACGCAAGTCCTCCATGGCGATGCTCAGAGCTTTCCTGGCGGAGGTCCAAGATGTCATCCCTGTTCAAATGGTGGCCATTACAGACAGTCAAGCAGACTTCTTTGAGAATGATGCAATCAAAGAGCTCATGACTGAAGGGGAGCACATCGCTACAGAGATAACCGCCAAATTCACAGCTCTCTACTCTCTGTCTCAGTACCATCGTCAGACGGAAGTCTTCACACCGTTCTTCAACGAGGTGCTAGTGAAGAAGAGCAGCATCGAGAGTGCCTTCATGTTCGACAGCTCTCGAGACTGCACGGGTGCGAGTGAAGATGTCTTCCCCCAGTCTCCCCACAGCCATTCCCCTGCTTACAGTTACTACCCTGACTCAGAGGACGACACCGAGGCTCCTCCGCCTTACAGCCCCATCGGGGACGACGTGCAACTTCTTCCAACGAAGTGCAGGATCGATCTGGAGGGGAACGAGTACCCTGTCCATAGCACACTTATCGGTGACCAAGAGCGCAACCACAGAGTGCCTCCCCCTGTTAGGCCCAAGCCTATACTATCCAAGCCCAACGTCAAGAAGCTGGACCCCAATCTCCTGAAGACCATCGAGGCTGGGATGAGAAGCAACAGACGACAACGCGGCCCCATGGCCCACGGTGAGGACGTCGAGGCGTCCGACAATTACGCAGACCCCGTAGACACTCTCCTGAAATCAAAGGGCTTTACCGACAACATCTACGCTGTCCCGGAGGACACCCACAGCAGGATCATCAAAATGCGTAACTCGTTTGAGGGGCTTCACGTCTTACACGGTGAGGAGGAGAACGGCTTCGACCGCCATGCGCAGGCCAGCAGGAGGCCCTCCAAGTATAAGCACCGCTCAAAAATACTCTTCAGCAAAACCAAGATGTACCACAGACGTGTCCACTCCGACGTCAGCGATGATGAGTCTGGGCCGGCCATGCAGAGGAAGAAGAAGGGCAGGGCCCATCGGGGCAGTGAGGAGGACCCCCTGCTGTCCCCTGCTGACCCCTGGAAGGGAGGGATAGACAACCCTGCTATCACCTCCGATCCAGAGCAGGATGACATGAAGAAGAAAAAGAAGAAAACGCCAAAGACAAAGGAACCTAAAAAGGTAGGCGTTCTGATTCCTCATCTCCTGTGTAATAATGCGAGCTCTAGAATGCCAATCAGAAACGAGTATTCAACAATGCCATGGTATTATTTATTTTATAAACTCGGTGGTTCGAGCCCTGAATGCTGATTGACGAAACATTTATTTTTACTGCTCTAATTACGTTGGGAACCAGTTTATAATAGCAATAAGGCACCTCAGGGGTTTGTGGTATATGGCCAATATACCACGGCTAAGGGCTGTGTCCAGGCACTCCACGATGTGTTGTGCCTAAGAACAGCCCTCAGCCGTGGGATATTGGCCATATACCACACCCCCTCGTGCCGTATTGCTTAAATATTATTCTTTAATGTGGTTTTAATGCTGTACACAGAAATCAAATACACTGCTCAAAAAAATAAAGGGAACACTTAAACAACACAATGTAACTCCAAGTCAATCACACTTCTGTGAAATCAAGCTGTCCACTTAGGAAGCAACACTGATTATGTGTTATTATGTGTAATTACTAAATTTCACATGCTGTTGTGCAAATGGAATAGACAACAGGTGGAAATTATAGGCAATTAGCAAGACACCCCCAATAAAGGACTGGTTTTGCAGGTGGTGACCACAGACCACTTCTCAGTTCCTATGCTTCCTGGCTGATGTTTTGGTCACTTTTGAATGCTGGTGGTGCTTTCACTCTAGTGGTAGCATGAGACGGAGTCTACAACCCACACAAGTGGCTCAGGTAGTGCAGCTCATCCAGGATGGCACATCAATGCGAGCTGTGGCAAGAAGGTTTGCTGTGTCTGTCAGCGTAGTGTCCAGAGCATGGAGGCGCTACCAGGAGACAGGCCAGTACATCAGGAGACGTGGAGGAGGCCGTAGGAGGGCAACAACCCAGCAGCAGGACTGCTACCTCCACCTTTGTGCAAGGAGGAGCAGGAGGAGCACTGCCAGAGCCCTGCAAAATGACCTCCAGCAGGCCACAAATGTGCATGTGTCTGCTCAAACGGTCAGAAACAGACTCCATGAGGGTGGTATGAGGGCCCGACGTCCACAGGTGGGGGTTGTGCTTACAGCCCAACACCGTGCAGGACGTTTGGCATTTCGCCACTGGCGCCCTGTGCTCTTCACAGATGAAAGCAGGTTCACACTGAGCACATGTGACAGACGTGACAGAGTCTGGAGACGCCGTGGAGAACGTTCTGCTGCCTGCAACATCCTCCAGCATGACCGGTTTGGCGGTGGGTCAGTCATGGTGTGGGGTGGCATTTCTTTGGGGGGCCGCACAGCCCTCCATGTGCTCGCCAGAGGTAGCCTGACTGCCATTAGGTACCGAGATGAGATCCTCAGACCCCTTGTGAGACCATATGCTGGTGCGGTTGGCCCTGGGTTCCTCCTAATGCAAGACAATGCTAGACCTCATGTGGCTGGAGTGTGTCAGCAGTTCCTGCAAGAGGAAGGCATTGATGCTATGGACTGGCCCGCCCGTTCCCCAGACCTGAATCCAATTGAGCACATCTGGGACATCATGTCTCGTTCCATCCACCAACGCCACGTTGCACCACAGACTGTCCAGGAGTTGGCGGATGCTTTAATCCAGGTCTGGGAGGAGATCCCTCAGAAGACCATCCGCCACCTCATCAGGAGCATGCCCAGGCGTTGTAGGGAGGTCATACAGGCACGTGGAGGCCACACACTACTGAGCCTCATTTTGACTTGTTTTAAGGACATTACATCAAAGTTGGATCAGCCTGTAGTGTGGTTTTCCACTTTAATTTTGAGGGTGACTCCAAATCCAGACCTCCATGGGTTGATAAATTTGATTTCCATTGATAATTTTTGTGTGATTTTGTTGTCAGCACATTCAACTATGTAAAGAAAAAAGTATTTAATACGATTATTTCATTCATTCAGATCTAGGATGTGTTATTTTAGTGTTCCCGTTATTTTTTTGAGCAGTGTATATTATATGTAATTGCACATTGTCTAACAAGCTGGTCATACAATCCAGTGATATCAAGCATGATTACTATGACACAGATTCAGAATGGTCTGCTCTCGTACAGTGGAGAAAATCAATGTTTGGTCTATCACACTGAGAGAAAACGTGACTTGCAATTTCTGTTGAATATTGCAACATCACATACTCCTGGCCAAGCATGCACTCCCATTCCTTAGCAATTAAGACGGGATATAACACAAGCAATGACAACATAATCATGGTTAAATATGACCGCCATAGCTGATGAGTTAGAGGAGAATTTCTGGGCATCCCACTGTATTGTAGTCTGGTCTGTTAAAGGCATTTTGAGGCAGGCAGGGTTCCCAGGGTGTGGAGGAAGTGCACTGAGGCATGAATCAGTGGACAGCGTTTATGTCCCAAATGGCACCCTATTCCCAATATAGTGCACTACATTTGACCAAAGCCCTATGGTCCCTGGTCAAAAGTAGTACACTATATAGGAAATAGGGTGACATTTGGGACATAAACGCTGTCCACTTCATATTTTCACAACAATACTGTACAGTAGGTCCACACTCACAATGACGTTTCAAGGAGCTTGCTTCATTCTTCATTTTATAAAATGATTTTGTCTACACATAATAGGACAATCATATACAAATGTTTTGGCTAAAAGCCAAACTTCATATATTAGAATCATGAATTGATGACACTACAGTAGCACCACTGACATTAAGAATACTCTAATTGTTTCAACATTTTGCTGTCTTTGATAATCAGGCAACAGAACATTAACAAAAAAAACCTGAGAACAAAATGTTAGTTCTTGCAAGGTGTTTTTACACTTTTCTTTTTCAATTAGAGCTTAACTATTGTGGGGGATGACAACTCTTTTGAAGAATTGAAATTGAAAGGATGAACTTTTTTGTTTTATGTAGTTTGTCTTGAAAACGATGCTATAATGTTTTCCTTCACTTCACAGCCAAAATCCAAGCCCACAAAGCCTTTGTACCCTCCCACACGGAGGAATTGGGAGAGCCACTACTTTGGTGTTCCCCTACAGAACCTGGTGACCATGGACCGGCCAATCCCCTTGTTCATTGAGAAGTGTGTGGACTACATTGAACGCACTGGTAGGTTTTAAAAAAAATCAGTTCTCCCTCATCCCTGATTTGAGTTGTTGTTACCATTTGACTGTGTGAGCATGATCCTGTAGTAGTGTGTGTGTGTGTGTGGGGGGGGGGGTTACGCACCTTCCATCTCTCTCTTGAACATAGGTTACCCCAAATATGTTTGCTATTTGGTCGGAATTCATTCATGATTTCAGTTGTGTGATAAAATGATAACCCCTCTGCTCCAACTGACTGGCATGACCTTTATGACAGAACATCATTGTGGTTTAGTTTACTGTAATTGCATTACAAATCACTGATTTCCAGAAAGAAGAGAGGATGTATGTATTACAGCTATAGTATGGGTCCTTTTTAGATTCCCCTCCTGTTTGTATCCACTTAACTTGCTTAAGCTCTTACTTAGCGCACTTGATCCTTTTAATTGTTGGATCTCATATAATGTTAGCGGTTAATCTAGTGATTAATTAATTCGGCACATGGGTTTTAAACAAGGTTATTCACTGAGATGCCCAGCAACATTTGTTCACAATCCTTTAGTAGTGAAATGTAGCATTGTAGCAAGATTGTTGCCCTTTGCAGTGAATCAAAGGGCTTGACTCGCCTTCATTTCTGCAAAGTGCATCAGTCGCCAGATGCAAGCCATGACTGGGGAGAGAAGACTCCGCTAACTGCTTACACACTCAATTGAGGATTTCATTAAACGTTTCCTTTTCCCCCAGTAATAAATTGTGTTTCAAGGGGGGCAGAAGAGGGGAGGGCGATGACTGGGCATGGTGAATGATTAAATGGAATTTGATGTTGATGCATTTGGAAATCTCATTGGCTATTATTCTCTCAGCACTTAGCCTAATGCTAACGCCGGGAAATATTTTGAATGAAGCTGCAGAAATCTCCCTCTAGGTTATTCGTAATGATATCTGATTTGTAAATATGCAGTTTACAGTAGTGTCTGAAACTGGAAATGATATCATCTCCGACTGCAGTGAACCCTCCATGCAGCATTATCTTTATGTATTTTCAAAAATCATTTTCAAAAAATGGGTTTTCCATTAATTTTTGGGGGGTTGAAAGTAATCTCAGAACATATGTTAAACCAAGCTGGGTAAAAAAGCAGATTATTTTTGTTTGCTTTGAAGTCAGTGGAATAGAGTAAAAATCGGAATGAATTCCAGTAGTAGTCATTGGAAAGCTCCTGCTTGCTAGGCTATTGGTATCAGGGGCATCGTGCCCTCCCCCCCTTCCACCCCTTCCCCTGCTTTGTAGTAGACCGCCATATTAATATTTTATTACTCTTTTATTCACTTACCTAGTTCGAGAGGTGAGCCTGCAAGTAAGCATTTCATTTCACTGTGTACCCCATGTATATCATGTGTATATATATATATATATATATATGACAAATAAACAAACTTGAACATAACCGCCATGTTCAATGGAAACATTGACTGGTAGGCCTACTCATCAATACCCAGTGAGTGAGCAGCCTGAGCCTAGTAGTCGGTCTCAAACAAGCCAACGTGGTGAATTTCAAAGTGGTGAATTTCACACGGATCTGAGTAGCCTAGTTTGTGGCAGGTTTACATGCCTTTGAAGCAGTAGGCTGTGTGGCAATGAGACAAGCCCAGCACACTGCTGTGTGGTTGGAGGAAATAGTTCCTTTTTGTGGTGCCTGTGGTTGTTTGGAGATGGAAGTAGGGCACATTCTGGTGATGGGGAAATGGTACCAGACTGTAACCTGTGGTTATGTGGGATGTAGCTCAGTTGGTAGAGCATGGCGTTTGCAACCCCAGGGTTGTGGGTTCGATTCCCACGGGGGGCCAGTATGAAAAATAAATAATGTATGCACTCACTAACTGTAAGTCGCTCTGGATAAGAGCGTCTACTAAATGACTAAAATGTAAATGTAAATGTTATGTGGGATGGTGGGAGCCTATTTCTGTACTCAACGATTGGGGTCTGGTGTTCTGTGGTGGCGATGGTTATAGACTGGTGTGTGTGTTCTGTAGTGGCGATGGTTATAGACTGGTGTGTGTGTTCTGTGGTGGCATGGCTATAGACTGGTGTGTGTGTTCTGTGGTGGCAATGGTTATAGACTGGTGTGTGTGTTCTGTGGTGGCATGGTTATAGACTGGTGTGTGTGTTCTGTGGTGGCAATGGTTATAGACTGGTGTGTGTTGTTCTGTGGTGGCAATGGCTATAGACTGGTGTGTGTGTTCTGTGGTGGCAATGGCTATAGACTGGTGTGTGTGTTCTGTGGTGGCAATGGTTTATAGACTGGTGTGTGTGTTCTGTGGTGGCAATGGTTATAGACTGGTGTGTGTGTTCTGTGGTGGCAATGGTATAGAACTGGTGTGTGTGTTCTTGTGGCGAATGGCTATATACTGGGTGTGTTGTTCTGTGGTGGCAATGGTATAGACTGGTGTGTGTGTTCTGTGGTGGCAATGGTTATAGACTGGTGTGTGTGTTCTGTGGTGGCAATGGTTATAGACTGGTGTGTGTGTTCTGTGGTGGCAATGGTTATAGACTGGTGTGTGTGTTCTGTGTGCGATGGTATAGACTGGTGTGTGTGTTCTTGTTGGTGGCGATGGTTATAGACTGGTGGTGTGTTTTCTGTGTGGCATGGTTATAGACTGGTGTGTTTGTTCTGTGGTGGCAATGGTTATAGACTGGTGTGTGTGTTCTGTGGTGGCGATGGTTATAGACTGGTGTGTGTGTTCTGTAGTGGCGATGGTTATAGACTGGTGTGTGTGTTCTGTGGTGGCGATGGCTATAGACTGGTGTGTGTATGTGTGTTTCTCTCTTTTGACCATGTTGTGTGTGTGTATTTTTTCTTTGACCATGTGTGTACGTGTGCATGTGCGTGTGTGTTGAACCACAGAGTAGTTAACGGGTCATTTGCTCTGGGAGCCAGTTGTATCTGCCTGGGAGAGATTGCTGGCCACACCGTGTGTAGTTGCAAGCCAGGTCAGGGCTCCATGTTGCCCTTTGTGCATGCAGGGCTGTGCCAACAACCATCATGCGTCTCCGTCAGCCTTCAGAAATCATTACCATGCTTATCATCATCATCATCATACCAGTGTTGTTCACAAGCACATGGAGTACCCAGCCTAATAGAAAAAGTAGAGCCAGCCAGTTAAGATTTCTTTGCCGAACAAGCTCTATTTTGGTGGTCTCTGGTACGTTCTATTGCTTTGATTCCATCCAAAATAGAATGGAAAAATGTGTTGTGGTATTGTGTTTACAATTGAAATGACTGAAAATGTATGAATTCTGTGTATTGTTAGTTTTTTTTTTATATCATCTTGAACTAGGCCTATATGATCAGTACTATTTTCTAAGTAAGAGAACATTAAACCTTTAACATTTAACCCGTCTTCTCTTTAGATCAGGGGTGTCAAACTCGTTTTAGCTCAGGGGCCACATGGAGGAAAATCTATTCCCAAGTGGGCCGGACCGGAAAAATCATGGTATATATAACTTAAAAACAACAACTTCAGATTGTTTTCTTTGTTTTAATACGATCAACATACAACATAAAGCTGGAGCCTGAGGACAGTGTGTCCAAAATAGTACAAGCACAACATCACTATTAATCATAAAACACGTCAAGTTTATTTGAAAATTCTAAAGAAAAAGAACACACAAACACACAATGCCTCAGTGATTAACAGAACTGTTTCACAGATCACAGAACTATATCAGGGTGTCATTTCTCAGGCAGAAATGTAGATAAAAATAATGAAATCCTGTTCCCAAAACAAGTGCAAGAACCACAGAGTCAAGAATAGGTTAAATATACAAATAAAATAAAAACAATTAAAAACAATAGCACATCAACATAAAAACATATACATAAATCTGAAAGCGTTGCTCAAACTCCCGTAACAGTCCCGTTATTTTATCTTTGAACCGCTTCATGTCTGCCACATGTTGGGTCGCACACACATTTTTCAGACAGGGGAAGTGAGCTGCATCACCACCGGCAAGTTGCGTCTCCCACAATGACAGCTTCAACTTGAAAGAACGTATGCTGTCATAATACCGCGTGACAACTTTGTTGCGCCCTTGCAGCTGTTTGTTCAAGTTATTCAGGTGCTCTGTAACATCCACCATAAATGCAAGGTCCGGCATCCATTCTGCGGAAAGAAATTCTAACACTGGTTTGCCCTTTTCTTCCATGAACTGTTCAATTTCTTCTCGTAAATCAAAGAAATGACTCAGCACAGCACCTCAGCACAGCAACCATCTTACCTCAGTGTGGTATGGCAGGCCATAGATGTGGTCTTTCTCTCTGAGAAGGCTGTCAAACTGACGGTGATTCAGGCTTCTGGATCGGATGAAATTAACAGTTTGGATGACCACCTTCATGACGTTATCCATCTTTAATGACTTGCAACACAAAGCCTCCTGGTGCAAAATACAGTGAAAAGTCAAAAAATCACGTCCTCCATTTGCAGATTGCACTTTCTCTCTGAACTTTGTCACAACGCCTGCTTTTTTCCCGATCATTGAGGGCGCACCATCTGTAGCTAGGCTGACAGCGCGGGACCAGTCCACTCCGACCCTGTCCAGCGCGCCGACGAGTGCGGTAAAAATATCAGCTGCTGTCGTTGTATCTGTCATCGGCACCAACTCCACGAACTCCTCGGTGACGGTCAATGTGTCATCAACTCCGCGGATGAAAAAATTGCCAGTTGTGCAACATCTGTAATGTCCGTGCTTTCATCAATTGCAACCGAAAACGCAATAAATGACTTTACTTTTTGCTTTAACTGGCTGTCCAAATCCACTGAAAGATCGGAAATCCTGTCTGCAACTGTGTTTCTTGTCAGGCTGATATTTGCAAAAGCCTGCCGCTTTTCAGGGCACACAATCTCCGCTGCCTTCATCATGCATGTTTTTACAAATTCACCCTCACTAAATGGTTTTGAAGCCACTGCGATTTCATTAGCAATGAGGTAGCTAGCTTTCACTGCAGCGTCACTGATGTCTCGGCTGTGAGTAAACACAG